GACCCTTCTTCTGAAGAAGGGTCTAGGCCCAAAACGTCAGCCTTCCTGCTCCTATGATGCCGCTTGGCCTGCTGTGTTCATCCAGCTCTATGCCTTGTTGTCTCAGATTCTCCAGCATCTGCAGTTCCTACTGTCTCTAAAAAAAAACACTACTTGTCATTAAAGGCACAAGTTGTACAGCACCTCCACTCTGAAATACACAAGATGAATTGTACTAGTATTTCTCATTCACTAGTTTTACTGTTTACTTTCTTCTGGCATATCTCAGCCACCTCCTTCTCAGACTAAAAAAAATCAAAGGGTGTAATTTTCCCATTTTTTTTGATGAAGTGTTGGGATGAATGTGCTAGATTCTAACTAACATTCCACCCCACCACCAAGTATACCTGTCCACTCATCTGCCATTCAGATTGTTAAGAGCCGAGTCTGGATGAGTTCATCGGTGAATCAAAGGTCACGATCCAGGTCGCCATAAGTTACTGGCCAATCAGAGACTGACAACATCTAGGTCCTAAAGTCCACCATTTCAGGCCTGCTCCTTGGGGTATCCAGCAATAACAAGGTGAATATTTTATATCCTCTTGTCACAGGATAGGGATCATAGGGAGAGGGGAAGTCAGAGGGTAGGGGTGTGGCATCAGAGGCTAGGACAGATGCCACATCCTTGTTTTCCATACCTGCCTCCAATTGTCCCCATATTATTAGGTCCTCATGGTTTCCCAGTAGGGAGCTGAGCCACCTTTCTTAAAGAAGCAAAGAACTGAGGATGCTGGAGAACTAAAACACAGGGGAACAGAAATGACTGGAGAAACCCAGCAGGTCCAGCTGCATCTATGGAGACGGAAACAGAGTTAACAATGCGAGTGCCATGAGCCTTCTTCAAAAGCCAATTGCTGCTGGATTGAGAAGTTTGCTCGTAGTTGCTTAATTAGGGAGGCGGAGTCTCGCTCCAGTTCTCACCCAATTCATTCCTCACTCGTCACCTCTCCTGCCACCACCAGAAAAGTGAAAATTGTGTCCAGGGTTTATTAGCCTTCCCTCATAACACTGATTCTTGTTAACTGGGATCAGTCTTGTGTACTTTTGCTGCATTGTCGCCGCTGCCTGAATGTCATGTTGCTTAGTGACCAGAATGGGCTTCAGTATTTAAAGGCAAGCCAGAACATAATGAAGTTTGATGATTACCTCTGTTGGCATCTGACATTTTCTAATGCTGTGGCAATATTGTTTAACATCCTGCAGCTTTGATGATTGTTTTAGTGTTTAGTCACTAATCTTCCTCAGTTCTTTTCAGCTTCATCCTTAATTATACACACCTTTCAGAGAAACACAGCAACTGGAATACACCATTCAGCCCCTCAGGCCTAATCTGATACTCAATTAAGGTAGAATATGAGCCCTGAATTTTTATTATCTAAATTTAGCTTTCTTTACCTGTCTGCATCTACCATTGCTCTGTCCATTTCACCTGACTCAAACCTTTGTTTTTGTTCTGCCTCCAATTTCATCACTGCATCTAGTTTGGGATCATCTGCATATTTGACCACTTTGCACTGAGTCTCTGAATTTCATGTAATTGGAAACATTAATTATCCCAATACTGGGATGTAATTGGCCCACTCAATACATTAGCCCTTCTACCAAAACATCCTGTCAGCCATTTTCTTGTTCATTTATAAATTCGTCCTGAATTACTGCAGCCTTGAGTAAAAGTCTTTCCTATGGAACTTTATCAAGAACCTTTTGGTGGTTAAGATACACCCGATTAGAAAGCTTTCACAGAATATTTGGGTTGAGCAGTTTGCTCAGACAGGGTCTTACCCTTCTAAATCCATGTTGACTGTTGTTAACTTGTTTGTTGTACAGGTAATTCTCAAGCTTACTACTAACTACTGATTTTGTTACTTTAAATAATGGGTTTCAAGTTGCATAATTCTGCTTGTTACTCAATTTAAATATGAGAACCACATTAATCTGGTATCTATCAATCAATAGATGTCTCTGGAATGTTCATTAATTAAATCTTAATGATTGTCAATGTTTCTCAAATCTCCTTAGTCTATTTCAGCACTTTGACAGAACTATCATCTACCACTGCTAATTTATTTGTTTTAATCCTACTAACACCTTTCTCTCATTTATAGTGAAGTTACACCTTGGACATGGGGAGGAGTTACTATGAAGGGATTTCCTACTCACCTTTCCAAACTTTAGTGGAAGGCCTGTGGAAAGTCCAGAAAAAATGTCCAATCTAAATCATGTATAAAGCTTCAGTCTAAGGAATCCCGGGTAAGAAACAGAAGGGCATAAGTACGCTCAAGTTTATAGGCCTGTCAGGTTTATCATTATTCTATTATTTAGATACCTTAATTTACCCTTTTGACATTTACTCAGGTTTAACTGGAGATATGATAGTACAAATGAGTCAACAATTGCCAAAGTGCTAACTTGCACAGCGGATGACATATCACTGATCTCATCTGAGAATCCTGGATCAGGTTATGACTGTTAAGGATCCAAAATGGAATATGTTTAAGTGTTGTCACCCTGGATCTCAGTGGGCACTCTCCCACAGCACAGGAGCACAATCAGTTGACTGGTTTATTCCATAAGAAGAAAATGAGAGCTATCTGGGGAATTTAAAGATCAATGCTGTATTGTAGTGACAATACACATGTGTTAATTTAAAGGAAGCTTCAGAGTTGTTGCCTTATGAGCACAACTGTAATCCTCACTGTCCTCCAGATGCTGCTAGGCAGGAGGCCATTAAATTGCTGTAGTTACATACCCATCCTGGAGGGGATTGTTTTTGATGTTAACCTGCTCAGTCAAGTAGTGGATATAGACACCTGCCAAAATCTGGACGACTACAATTATACATTGGCATTTTGCCAATGATGATATTGAGATGTGGCAAGTTTAATTCAGTTGCATGATTGAGAAGAGCCAAAATACATTCCAAGACTATTTATTCTATGTTCCTCTCATGTCCGCAGAAACATCTGTTTCCTGAGCCCACCCGTCCAGTCTCTTCACAGCAAAAGACAATTGGAGACAGACCAAAACGGAACTCATCAGAGTTATCACATTCGGGCCTTTTCATCACAGTACATCATAGTCCTTCATTAACCACCACAAACATTGATACCGAAGCCACAAGTCCCACCTCATGGGACAATTCCAACAGCCCGTCCTGGCCACTATCAAGTCTTGACAGGCAGCCTCTGAATCATGCATCTTTCTGTCCCTCTCTGATACCCCAGCCTGAGTGGCTGGTGTAGGTTAAAGGTGGTCATGGCAATAACATACCACAGGACTCACCTCTAATTCATATTGCTGCTCTCCTTTCTCAAAACATGCAGGGTTACCTATGGTCATACAAACAGGAACAGGAGTAGGTCATTTGGCCCCTTAAGTCTGCTCCTCCATTTAAAAGATCATACTGATCTGATTTTAACCTTAAATCTGCATTCCTGCCTACTCTTGATAACCTTTCATGCCTTTGTTTTCCGAGAATATATCTACCACTGCCTTAAAAATGTTCAAAGTCTGCTTCCATCAACTTTTTGGGAAGAGAGTTCCAGATTCATGACCCTCCTTGAGAAAACATTATATCTTATCTCTGCTTTAACTGGGCGACCCCTATTTCTATATTGTCTCATAAGAAGAACCATCCCCTCCACATCTAAATTGCCAAGGCTCCGACCAGGCTGTACCTGTTTGGCACTGACACCAATTGGCTGTAGTATGGATAGTATTCATTCCCAGACCTGGTGTGTCTTTACTTCAAATAAACAGTAAAGACCTTCTAAAAATAAGAGGTAGGCATGACGCAGGGATGTTGTTTTCACTGGCCGGGGCTTCCAGGACAAGGAGCTCTGGTCTCAGAACATGAGGTAGGTCATTACAAACTAAATCAAGGAGAAATTTATTCACTCAAAAAACGGTGAAACTGTGGAATCCTCCACCTTAGAAGACTGTGGTGGGAAGACACTAAACATACTTAAGAAAGAAATAGAATTTTAGAAGCTAAAGAAGTCAAAAGTTTTGGAAGAGAGCCTGATAGAGATAGAGGATTTGAGATAGAGGATGAGCCTTGATCATCTTGAATGGTGGAGCTGGGTCAATGGGCCAAGTGGCCTGCTTCTCCTATGTTTCTATGTTTCAAAGAGATAATTAATATCAATGTACCTGTTGAGTTGGCCTTTTGTTGGGGGAAATGTTTTCTGCCTGATCAACGCATACAGTTTTAGGTGACAAGTTACACTCTCTTGACACAATTTTCTGCGCAGTGAAGAAAAGAACAAAAAATCTGGATAATAAATCACAAACAGTTTGGGAGAAACAGATACTATTTTTCAATAAAGAAGATTGAATTAACATTCTGGAAAGAGCTCCAAAGTAAAGATTAACAGATATTTTGTACCTTCTTGTTTTTTATTCCTTTTTGGTATCGAGCCAGTTTTTTCAGTAGCAAATAGTAAGTTGCCATGCTGGGGGATGGCCTGTTATTGATCAATGTGTTGATAATCTCTGTAAGCCCTAAACCTGTTTTCTCAGCCATAAAGTTTAAAACCATTGAATTCAGTTCATCAGAACGCAGTCTAGAAAATAATGACATTATCACACAGTGAGATTATTGCCACAATGTTAGTAAATTTTGTTTTCCCTGCATTGTATCAAACATGCTTGCATTATTGCAGGTTAATTGATATCAAATGCTGGAAGTACTCAACTTTGTAACAGTTTTGACCTATTTTTCTATCAGTAAGCTGCAGCACATACTATCCAAAATAAAGTAAATAAAAATATGATTCCTAAGAAAAATGAAGATACAACAGTTGGATACTTTAAGAGAATCTATGTGGATTCAACGTAAGTTCAGTGGTTAAAGAACAATGTCTTTAGTGAAAAATTATTGGGGTCTTTTTCTGAAGAGTCAATTTCTGGGTGGCTGAAGGGTTTTAAGTACTCTTGAAGGGCTTTTGGAAAGCTTCCTTGTTTTTCAAAAAAGTTAGTTTTTGTACACTGGGCCTTGACACCAAAAGCATCTTCTGGAGTTGGAGGAACATAGCAGGTCAGGCAGCATCAAAGGAACAGGAAAGTCGATGATTCGGGTCGGGACCCTTCATCACTGTGTTAACTCTGACTCCAGCATCTGCAGTCCTTGCTATCACCAAAAGCACCTTCCCTTTAAGAATGAAGTGAAGAGTGTGAATAGGAGTAGAGCAGCCAGCACAGCTTCTATGGAAATGAGGAGTGCACCTTAAGATGATATATGTTTAATATCATCAGCTTCCGCATATGCCTGCCCCTCCTCACTAATTGTGGACGGAAGTTGAACATTTCCCCCTCTTACCTCAGTGCCCCCATCTCCACTCAAGAAACATCCAGTAGGATAAGTCAAATGTTATACAGTTGATCTTATTATGCTGCATATCTTCAATTAAAAAAAACTGTCACAAAATGAAATGACATATAGAATGTACAGTGTATGTAAAGGTTTGAGGAAGTTGGGAAGAGTTGACTTAAATATTCTTTGATGCCCCAATGTACTTGTATGTATCTTTCATGCTTAGTGTAATAACAGATTGAATTTTGAGAATAAAATCCTTCCTAAAGCAACATGATATTTTTCCAAATCTATTTGTAACACATTTATTTTACGATGTTTCAGAGGTTCTACAGTTCACTTTTAATAAGTACCTGTTCTTGTAAACAACGGAATGCAGTGGTCTTCGAATGAACCCTTCATTTAACCATTTTTCTTCCATTGCTTCTCTGACAGTGGGTCGTTTGGTCGGGTCAGGTTCAAGCAAAGAAAGCATGAAGTGTACAGCTCCTGAGAGAAAAGCACAGAGCTATGAACTACATTCATGTACATGACAAATAGGTGGGGAATATGTATCATGTTTATGATAAAGCTTGAGGTGTTCCACTAGATCTCATCCAAAACACTAAGTTTTCATCATATAATGATCTGAACTCCACCTGTTTGTATCTGTCATTATTTATAGTCCATGACCTGTTTATTTGTACTTTTGTAGATAAGATCACCCTGCCTATAGCTTTAGCTCAATAAGAAGGCCTGAGACATGTATCACATCTAATCTTCGTTCAAGCACGACAGAGACAGTTTAGAAGCAGCCAATTATGCGTGCCCTTCTCCAAAAATGTTTAAATTAATGATAAATGTTAATTAAAGTTGCCAGCTAGAGATTACCACTGACCAGAAACTGAGCTGAATTAGCAATATAAATTCTATGGGAACAGATACAAGTCAGAGGTTAGGAGTCCTGCAACGAGTAACTCATCTCCTGCCTGCTCAAAGCCTGTCCACCAATTGCAAAGCACAAGTCAAGAGTGTGATAGAATACTACTCACTTGCCTGAATGAGTACAATTCCAATCACACTTGAAAAGCTCTACACCATCCAGGACAGAGCAGCCCACTTGATTGGAACTCCATCCACCATCTTCAATATTCACTCCCTTCACCCACCAACATGCAGTGGCAGCTGGTGGCTACAAGATGCACTGCAACAAGTCATGAAGGGTTCTTCAACTGCATCTTCCAAACCCACACCCCATACCATCTCGAAGGACAAGGTCAGTAGATGCCACCTCCAAGTTCCACTCCAAGCCACATACCATCTCAACTCCAGTATTTAAACAGCGCTCTGGCTCCTGACTCAGGCTTCATTCTGGGATTGAGCACATATTGTAGGCCAACACTGCAGTGCTCTTGTTGGAGATATTGTGTTTCAACTAAAATGTTAAACTGTCTTTTTCAAATTAAAGAGTTTACAGAGGGAGCAGGAAGTGTGATTACACCTTGGCTCTCAGAGAGAAAATATTTTGGATGCTATTTACGGCAACATTTTCCATTTATTTTTCTTTCTAGGGGACTTTGACAGGGTGCCAAGAATTTTGCACTTTTCAGGCTCCTCAGCTTAAACAGTTAGAGCAAACAGATTACATCCATTAGCAGTGATCAATCAGTAAACTGAGGTGATAAAGAAAATTATCACTGCTATGTATTTCACGATGGAAGTTTCTCATTGACCACTTCACCCAAGACCCTCAGATATAATGTCAAGTGAGTACCAGCAATATGCGAGAGACAGACGGCATGTAACCAAAGAACTCATGTACACACTGGAAAGGATGGGTAGCAACAGGAGCCTGTTGTCAGGATTAAGTGGAGATCCTGATCCCACACTTGTCAGCAGAGAGGCCAATTGTGTGATCTTCCTGAGTCAGCTTCCTAATTGACAACAAGTACACACTGGCATGAGTCTTCTCAATGCTCTTGGCCCAATCAGATGGATTGCAGCTGTTGAGCAGAGGGAACCTATCCTGGTGCATCATTTGCTCAGCAGGGATTTCCTTTCCTGGCCATGGTTCCTACTTTGAAGTATGGGGCCTTCAGTTCCGATGGTCTTCCCTGGCTCTGCCTCAGCAACACAGTGATGGTTATCTCCAGGCATGATGGGGGCATGTCCTATAAAACACCATTAATTGCGTCTTAATGATCTCACCTCTGTGGATTAGGTAGGCTATCCACCTCCTGGGAAAGTTCCTCAGTGGCAGGAATGCACCAGGAAGTCAGTGTGAAGTGGCTACCCTCACCTTTAAGCCACCTCAGGATGTGAAAATCCAGCCCATTGTAATCAAGTCTTTATGCACCTTTGGTATAAAACTAGGCTGTGGATGCTGCCAACAACATTCCTTGGTGCCATAAAGGGCATGCCCACATGAAGGAGGATCATTCAGAAGTGACAGAAAGCTGCAACCCATCTTGGTGATGGTGCAGCTGGAAGACTGTATCAAACAGGATGGATCCTGCATTCAGGGAGGGATGGGGGATCTGAATCATGTCATGCATTGAGTGGGAGGGATAGGGGTCAGATTGGGAGGCTTGGAGGAAGGCTGCAGCAGTGAAGCCTGAGCGACAGCTCCATTCCATCGGCTGTTGATGGATAGCAAAAATAACCTGGCCAAGGAGCTGGCAATGGGAAGGGAAGGTGGTGGTGGGGTGGGGTGGGCATTGGGAGATGACAGATACAGCAGTAGCCCCAGGCTCTGGGCATGGCCTCCAGGAATGACCTGCTCAATGTGGCACAGTGCACAGGAAGTGTCGGTGACAGGTGGCATCGAGGAGGGCACACTCCACTCAGTCATCTCCAGTCTCCTCCCCTTACCCCCACGCTCCTTGAAACACTCTGGCATGATGACATCAGTGGCATTTCCTGTCGCAGCCAGCTGGTATCACGGGTCACACACACACGTATGCTGGAGCCATTCTGGTGCTATGGATAATCCCTGTGAAAACATTAATGTGCCATGCATCGTTCCAGGTATTTGACATGTCTGATACCTGAGGAGATCTCTGGTGGGATGGAACTAATGTCTCCGTTTATCATCTTCTGGTGCAGCTGCTTGATGTTGAATGGCTCCACTGTAAATGGTAACATGCCGGTGAGCATCGCAAACATACTGACCCCACTGAGAAGACATGACAATGTGTACTGTGAGAAGTATTGTCCATCCAAATGACACAAACATTGGCCAACAACAAAATGTTATTTGTTAACTATTTGTTATTTGTTATTTGTTAAATACTACCAAAGAAATAACCAATATTTTCAGACAAAGAAGTAAAGCAGCAAACATCACTGACAATATTTATGGTTCTATCAAGATCCCTAGGAAATCAGGCAAAAGACATTCATTCTCTCATTACACAGACTGATGTTCAAAATTGGAAACAAAGCCACAAATTTTAGCAACTCAGGCAGTCCCTGTGGAGCAAACAGCCCAGCTAATGTCTGGGTCTAGTTCTATTTTCTCATTCATTCTGGATGTGGCTTGGCCAGCTTTTATTACCCACCCTCATTAAAGATTTGAACTTTTTTTTTAGAAAGTAGGATAAGGAGAAAGTGAAAACAATCACACAATTTTAAAATTACTTTTGAAGTGCTTAGTGATTGTAGATAGTACAAGATAACCTGAAAGGAATAAAAGGCCATGAATAGCTAAAGGAGCTGGAACGCGCAGGTAGAAAATAAAGACTCAAAAACTGACAAGCTAGCCAGGCACGAGGGGATGGTAGAGGAATAAAAAGTTGGACAATAAAGTGGATACTCCTCTTCCAATCTCAAGTGACAATCCACTCTCCCTCCACTGCCTCAACTCCCTTCTCCCCTCTACCCCGTCATCATCTTACACCATCAGTGTGATGCTTTCTTTAAATCAGATATTCATTTGTTGTTTTCATATAATCACTCCATATCCTTAGAGAATAATGTTAAGTAATTGAAATATTCATGGACTAGTGATGCATCAGAGAATCTGCAACGTCTACCAGCAGGATGTTAGTTCTCAATATCATAAGGTTGTTATTGACTCTTATATGAGGAGAGATGAGACCAGGCCACCAACACACATTACATATGAGTGCTGCGCTGGTTGTCAGCTCGGAATTCAGGGTGCGAGCTCTGGTTTCCGATAATCAGCACAGTCTGGAGCACAGTTTTAACCCTCAGAGACAAGAATGTAACTCCACAGTCAAGGACTCACTCACTGGGTATCTGCTGTGACACAAAAAAAACACAATTAAGGTCAGGGAGTTGGAGAAGGGCAATGAGAGGACGGGAGAAAAGATAAAGAGAGAAAGTGCAAAACAGTAGGAAATTTATGTCTTTGACTTCCAAACTTTGACTACAACGGAGCTCATTATACAATAGATGTCATTTATGCAATGCAAATACCCTCAGAGGATTTGACAAAAATATTTAATTAACCCATTATCAAAATCAGCCTCTTCATATAAAGCCACAATGAAAATATTCTTTAGATTTTGTTATTTGTGTTATACTTCATTGATTATCTGATGTTGACTCAATTTACAGTACAGCTTGATAAGTAGTTTCACTACCAATTAATTTAGATGTATAGAGCAAGTAAGATGTTTCTCGCTGACACTTTTTTTTCATCCCTTTTCCCAAAGGTGATGTCACCTTTCTTTTTCCTTTGATGTCTTTGAGTTACAGCTGGTACCAATGACTTCGGCAGAGAGGGAGCATAACACTCCCAAAGTTCCAAAGGGTGCTTTCCCATTTCTGCACTACATTTTAGACATGTTCACATGCATTGTTAGAGCAACGCATTGCGTCAAATTTTAAGCTGCTCAATAATCAAGGTGGAATTCCTGTTGGAGATAAGGGGAAAAGAAATCAAAGCAGAAATGTTATTCCAGTGAATTGTTATTCTCTGAGAAAACAGGGAATGAGGTTTGGCATTTGAGGTTCAACTAATAAATCAATATTGGATAATGCAACATTTATTAGTGTATGTATTGATTATTAATACTTGATTTCGACTTTAACAATAGATTAATAAACTTTCTGAAACTGTTAATAGATACTAGGCAATATTAGTGAATTATTAGGGTTAGGGAAATATTGGCTGACGTACCTTTTCATCAATTCATCTTTTCAATCTTCAACAATTTTTTTTATTTGTTCATGGGATGTGAGTGTTGCTGGCAGGGCCAGCATTTAATTCCTGTACCTAATTGCCCTGAAGAAGGTGGTAGTGAGCTGTCTTCTCAAACCCTTGCAGTCTTTGGGTGTAGAAATGCTCCTACTTGTGCTGTTAGGAGGGAAGTTTCAGGAATTTAACTGAGTGGCAGTGAAGGAATAGTAATATTGGTTCAAGTCGTGATCGTGTTTGGCTTGGAGGAGAATTTACGTGATGTGGTATTCCCAGTTATAAAATGTAGCTTTGGCATTTTTTAATAAAATGGTTAGTTTTGCCACTTTCAAAAATTTCTGAATGTGCTCAAAATTTCAAGTAGGGATAGCAGGCACAGAGGTCTGCAAATCTCACAGAGCCATCGCTTTTAAGGCTATGACATTTGTTGTATGTTTGCCAGCAAAGAGTAAAATTTATCGTCCTGCAATCTTAGTGGGAAACATTGCTCGGTCTGAGGCCAGGCCAAAGAGTGGAGCTCAAATGTGAATATACCTGATTTGTGTCCCTCATTTATTTGTATTATTAATTTTATTTAAAACGCAAGAGCTCCACAATGAAAACATCAGTGTAAAAGTCAGTTCTGTGCTCTGCTTTCCTTTTGAATAAGGCTCCCCATTAGGAGTGTAAACTATTCCAGTTGGTAGAAGCTACAGAGCGAATTTGATAAAGGTATAGGAGTAAGTTTAAGAATAGCTATCTCAATGATGATAAGACAGGGAAAAGTGAAAAAGAAACAAACCGAATTTATATTAAATGAGTCACTAGTTAACAAGGCCATAGCTTGTATTTCATTCTATTCATGCAATCTGGGCATTACTAGCATTTGTTGCCCAGACTTAACTGCTCTTGAACTGAGTAGCTTAGTTCATTTTAAAAGGTCAATATTATTGCCGTGGGTCTCACTATATGTAGGCGAGATCAGGTAAGGACAGCAGATATCCTGACCTAATGGACATTATTGAATCAGATGGATTTTTCACCAATCAGTGATAGTTTCATGGCACCATTATTCAGACTAGCTTTTAATTCCAAATTTTATGATTAAGTGAATTTAAATACCACCAGCTGCTATCGTGCAATTTGAATCCATTAGTCTTAGCATGTGAATTTCATTTCATAGAATTTCATAGAAGCTCTACAGTGTGGAAACAGGCCCTTCGGCCCAACAGGTCCTCACCCATCCTCAGAGCATCCCACCCAGACCCATCCCCATATAACCCACCTAACCTACACATCCCTGAACACTATGGGCAACTTAATATGGCCACCTAACTTGTACTTCTCTGGATTGTGGGAGGAAACCGGAGCACCCAAAGGAAACCCACGATAGACACTGGGAGAATGTGCAAACTCCACAGACAGTCACCTGAGGGTGGAATCGAACCCGGGCTTCTGGTGCCGTGAGGCAGCAGTGCTAACCACTGAGCCACCGTGCCATCCCATTGACATTCTCACAATGCTGTCCCTTTTCATTATTATGTTTTTAGGACACATATGATGACTGGATGCTTTAAAGTTTCGCAGCCACAGAGTTTTTCTTTTATTCATTCATGGGATGTGCGTGTCACTGGCTGGGCCAACATTTATTGCCCATCCTTAATCGCCCAGAGGGCAGTTCATAGTCAACCACATTGCTGTGGGTCTGGAGTCACATGTAAGCCAGACCAGGTAAGGATGGCAGTTTCCTTCCCTAAAGGGCATCAGTGAACCAAGTTGACAATGTACTCATGGTCATCATTAGACTCAAAATTCCAGATTTTTATTGAATTCAAATTCCACCATTTGCCATGGTGCAATTTGAACCCAGGTCCCCAGCACATTACCTGGGTCTGTGGATTAATAGACTAGTGATAATACCATTAGGCCATCACCTCTCTGCTACACTAATTTTTTTTTGTAGTGTAATCACTGCTGTAATGTGCGATATGTGGAATCCAATTTGCACAATGCACACTCCCATAAACAGCAATCTTCCAATAATCAAGAAATTTCAGCACTACCTCAGTGCTGCACTAGAATACCACCCTTGTTTTTTGTGATCAGTCCCTAGAGTGGATCCTGGAGCCTTGTGTCATGGAGCCACAGCCTCAGGTTAAGGGAGCAGTCACTTAGGATTGAAGTGAGGAGAAACTTCTTCACTCAGAGGATGTGAATCTTGGGAGAACTGTAGTGCTCAGTCAATGAGTAATTTCTAGACTTACTTTTTTCTATCTCTTTTTTATCAGTAACACAATTAAGAAATGTAGGGATCAGGCAGGAAAATAGAATAGATGTAATAGTTTTGCTATAGACTGAATGAATTGCAAAGAAGACTCAAGAGGCTGTTCTGCCAATTCATACTTCTTTTTCTAATCTTCTTAAGTATTGTGAGAGGCATTTGGCAGGAAATGTCTACTCCCAGGTTGCCTCTGACTAGCACAGAAATGGGAGAATAAAACGGGTAAATAACAATAACATGTACTTTGCTGTATTATGTCTAAGTTTCTGAGACACAACATGGGTCACTTCTCCTTTTAGACATAACACATTTGCAATCACCATACTTTTACAAATAAAATGCGTGAGTCTTTATTTTGTTTCTTCGTAGGGGGTAAATCAGTTCAGTGATCAGGAACAGTAAATGATCTTCAAAGTGTCATCTGACTTCAAAGCATTCAGAATATGCTTTATCATCCTTTGAATTTTCACCATATTGCCATCAATTACAACTGGAAATGTGAGAAAAGGTTTGAATACTACAGGTATGTTCTGTGCAAACGGAAGAATTGCTGTTTATTCTTAGTTTAAAAAGCAAGTCACGTAAGTCAACCTGTGACAAGTGCTTTCCTTCTTGGCTGAGTTGGACTGTGCTCACATACCTCTCCCTTTTGTTTACCCAGGCAGACAGCTGGAAAAGATCTGGTGTGCAATGTCAATCAACCTGTACAAAAGTATCTTTCACGTGGACAAAAGTAGATTGATTATGGAAA